AGGTGGGTGCCACCACCCCATCTGAACTCTGCCTTTCAAACACTATTTCTCTTGAGTGTTTTTTCAGATACAAAGCCTTTTTTTTAGAAAACACTGTGCCCAGAGCATTCCAGGAAAAGGACACAGTTTTAAGCATAATGGTCCCAACAGTGCTCCCCGGCTGATGGGCTACATTTCACAGTGAGAATCTAAACAGACATCATCAAGCAGACATCTGCCTGGGCTGTGCTCAGTATTTTGGAGTGAATCAAAGAAAAAACTCATGGAGAAGACAGGACTGACACATAAAGTACTGAAGCACAGGTGCAAAGAAACATATGGGAGAACCCAAAAAACCCAGAATTTATTTATAAAAATTGTGGATTTATTCTTCCATTTTTTTTTTTTTGTAATTGGAGTCTCATTCTGTCACCTAGGCTAGAGTGCATTGTCACTCTCATGGCCACTACAGCCTCTACCTGCTGGACTCAGGTGATCCTTCCATCTCAGCCTTCCAAGTAGCTGGAACCACAGGCATGTGCCACCATGCCTGTCTAATTTTTTTAATTTATTGTAGAGATGAGGTCTTACCATGTTGCTCAGGCTGGTCTCAAGCCCCTGAGCTCAGGCAGTCCTTTCGCCTCTACCTCCCAAAGTGCTGAGGTTACAAGCTTGAGCCACTGCACCCAGCCTACTCTTACATGTTTTAACGTCCGTCATTTTCAAAGTATTCTCCGTTTGATGAAGTACACCTATTGAGACGCTTTTTCCATTGCTCAAAACAGTTTTTGAACTCATCAATTTGATGCCTGTTAGTGCTTCTGCTGTTTTTTTGTTTAACCTCTTCCACATCAGCAAAACATTTCCCTTTGAGGACTTTTTTCATCCAGGGAAACAAAAAAAAAAGTTGCTTGGGGTCAGATGAGGTAAATAGGGAGGGTGTGGCACAGGGGTCAGGCCATTTTTGACCAAAAACTGCTGAACACTCAGCATGATGTAGACAGGTGCACTCACAAGTCACCTAACATGAAATGGGCAAACACATGGAAAGAATCTCTAAAAAAATTCAGTGAGGCTGAACACAGCCTCACAACAACGCTAGCTGGTGCACTGATGCCAATGAGTTTCTAGATCACTCACCTAACAGGGAAAGCCTGGACAACCAGGGGCCTGCCCTCCAAAAGAGAATTCCAGATTTTCTTAGCTTCCCCTGTCATATAGTAAAGTTTAAATTAAATATTAGCCATGCCAAACACCCAAGGCAGACAGGGTACACAGTAGGACTAGGCTTGTCTCCCCCGAGGTAGGTGTGCCAGGCACCCCTCCACCATTCAGGGCCAGGCACGGGCCATGGCAGAGCATCAGGTTGCACAAGCTGAATGCTGTTGCCCCATCTATTTGGACAGGACTGTCATTTATCTATCTGAGTTAACTAAATCTCCCCATTTAAATTAGCTGCGTGGAAAATAAATGGGCTGGAGCATACTGGAAGTTGGGAAGATGTACGTCACTCGTGTTATTGCTTCCATGAATGGCATTTTCTTTTCTTTTTTCTTTTTTTTTTTTGAGTTGGAGTCTCACTCTGTCTCCCAGGCTGGAGCATAGTGGCATGCTCATGACCACCATAGCCTTGACCCACTGAGCTCAGGCAATCCTTCCACCTCAGCCTTCCACGCAACTGGAACTACAGGCATGCACCACCATGCCCGGCTAATTTTTTTATTTACTGTAGAGATGAGGTCTCGCCAAGTTACCCAGGCTGGTCTTGAACCCCTGAGCTCAGGCAACCCTCTCACCTCCCTACTCGTGCCAAAAACAGAAGACATCTTACGTCCTGGGAGAGTATTGGCCAGCTTGGGTGTGATCCAGAAACAGTGACGCTCAAGAAGAAAAATACTTGTGAGGCTCAAATCGAAAGGGCATCAGCCTTAGCAACTTCTCATTGACCTTCCAAAATGCAGTCTCTTCCCTTGTTTTCCCTTTTGTTGGTTTGAGCATGACTCTGTGCACCTCCTGTCCCCTCATGCACATTCCAGGAAGAGGAGCGTGGCAGAGGGGTCTTGTCACACCATACTCTTTCCTTTCTTCAGAGGCCATTATGGTTGGGAGCCTCATATATGCTGAGTGGCTGGTGGGTCAGTGTGGCCGCCCTTCACAGCATCGAACGTGCTCTGGTTTTGGATGTTAGGCTGGCCAGAGAGCAAAGCCGGTCCCCTCTACCCCAGGGCCATCACCAAGGAGCAGTCCCAATAACATAGCCCTGCAGTGACAGGGAAGACGGTGTTTTGCCCCCTCCATGACTGCTGTCTTCCTTTCCAGTGCCCTCACCTATTTTCTGTATTTCTTTACTGATTTCCATTTGAGCACCTAGGGCACAAAGCAGGGTTCTGAGACGGAGAGTTGTACGTAACCTAGAAATAAAATTTCTGGCCTGGGTACAATGGCTCACGTCTGTCATCCCAGCCCTTTGGGAGGTCAAGGTGGGAGGACTACTTGAGCCTAGGAGTTCAGCAGCCTGGGCAACATAGCAAGACCGTGTCTCTACAAAAAATAGAAAAAACTAGCCAGGTGTGGTGGCACATGCCTGTAACTCCAGCTACTCAGGAGGCTGAGGCAGGAGGATCACTTGAACCTAGGAGTTCAAGACTAGCCTGGTAACTTGGTGAGACCTTGTCTCTGCAAAAAAATTTTAAAAAACTAGCCAGGCATGGTGGCACGCACCTGTAGCCCTGGCTACTCAGGAGACTGAGGCAGGAGGATCACTTGAGCCCACGAGGCAGAGGTCGTGGTGAGCAGTAACTGCTATTGCACTCTAGCCTGGGTGACAGAGAGAGACCTTGACTCAAAAAATTACATTTCTGACTTTTTTTTTTCTGGCTTAGTGTTTTGTTTTGTTTTGTTTTGAGTTGGAGTCTCACTGTCACCCAAACTGGAGTGCAGTGGCTGCTCCCGGCCACCGCAGCCTTAACCTGCTGGGCTCCAGCAATCCTTCCGCCTCAGCCTTCCAAGTAGCCGGAACTACAGGCACACGCTACCACGCCCGGCTAATTTTTTTGATTTATTGTAGAGATGAGGTCTCGCCTGCCCAGGCGGGTCTCGAACCCGCGGGCTCAGGCAATCCACTCACCTCAGCCTCCCAAAGACGTGGGATTACAGGCTGAGCCACCGAGCCCAGCCTGTTCTCTTTATCTGAAAACACCATGTCTACCACCAAATGGAGCTTTAGTTAGTGCCAGGGCTCTTTGTTGTCAAAAGAGGCATTTTGCATGGAACTGCAGGTGAATGGGGGAAAAAACAGAGGCCTTTCAAGTTTACAAGATCTTTTCTGGTGTGGGGACGGCCCCCCAAGAGCACCTGACTTGACGGAGGGGCCAGCTGCAGCTCATCTGTCCCTTCTTCGGTCCTTGCCAAGTTTCCTCTGCTGACCACAGGAAGTTAAAGGAAATATCGGCTCCATTATCATCCAAAAGTGATCCCATGACGTTACGGGTTGTGCAAATAAGTTGCATGTGACTTTGCCTCCAGCAGTGGCCCCCTGGAAGGTGTAAGGAATGCCCCCAGGCACCATCACCTGGCCACAGTCACATTCTGAGGCCCTTTTCAGACTTTGTGGAGGTCGGGGATGGGAAAGCGAGCCTGTGGCACATTTCGACTGGAGAGATCTCAAAGCCATCTTGATGTTGTCTATTAAGAATGGAGATCGACTGATTCCCACACCATTTCCGAGGGTGGCTTCCTAGACAGAAATGAGCTACTCCATTTTTTTAAGCAGCACCCCTGCTCCCACCTTCAACCAAGCTGGACTGAGCTCTCTTGAGTCCCAGGTCATCATATCGAGGTAAACCAGGTGCGTTGGGGGCTAACAGCATGTGGAATTTAGTTCATGTCACACAGTAATAACTTGCATGTTACCAGCTAGTCTTGCTGTAAGTAGTTTTATCTCTGTAATAGACGTGTTAATTATGGCATTGTCAAGGTAGTATGTCTACAAGAGATTTTGAAGAGCAAGAGAAAGGGAAAGAATCAGAGGCATAAAGTGGTCTGGGTACTGTCTCAGCATCCCAGGGCCATTTTAACGAAAGGATCGTAGACCCTGTCTGTGTTGCCAGGACACCCTCACCCCTTTCCCATCACAGCCGCTCTCAGCAGCCTGTCCTGCCAGTACTTGTGAGACTCCTTCCAGCCAGATGGCAAGCACATTCCCAGTGCTCTCGGGAGCAGGACGACCCGTCAGGGAGACATGTTCTTCCTGTCTCTGACACGCCCACCTGCTGGAAGAGAAAGCTGGGGTCATGCAAGCTCATGCAAGCTCAGATCCTCATGTGGAGTGATTTATATATTAAAAGATCCCCCTTCTTCTTTGGAAATCGCTTGCACGAGGCATCCTTTGGAAAATGTTCTCATCTGGAAACAGTCTGACTCTGATCATGGTCCTCAGGAAGGGGGCGGGTTCTCAGGTGGAGAAGCCATGGAAGGGAGTATTCCAGGGGGTCCTGAGCCCCCGGGAGCATGGTTGAAGCAGGCAGTGGAGGAAAGAGGAGGAGGAAGCCGACCTGGGCGCTGAGCCCTCTTATTGCTCTGAAGGGTAGACAGAGCAGCCACAGCACCTGTCCTGAGCCAGCAGATGTGAAGCGATTTCTTCAGCAGAGGCTGGAAAACCCCTCCTGCCTCAGCCTTGCAGTCTGATTTCTGAAATAACGCTGCTGTTTCCTGGCTGCGGGGAGGCGGCAGGGCTGAGGTTTTGAGCAGCTTCGTGGGCTGTGCCCATCATGGCCGTGGGATGCAGGTGGGGGCTGGTTAACACAGGGCCCGACGTCACCAGGCCACAGGACATTACTCGACTAGCTGCCCCAGTGGGGGACATGGAACACCCTGACTATTGATTAGAGATGGGGCATGATGGCGTCTGTCTGGGGAACATCCTCTCCCCTTTCTGGAGGATCTGGACCCGCCTGTGTCCAGCAGGGCAGAGGCGGGCACTGACGAGGTGGACTTCCTGACATCTCCTCTTCTCTTCCCAGAGCCCACAAAGGCCGCCTCGGACCTGACTGCCTGGTTCAGCCTCTTTGCCGACCTCGACCCGTTATCAAACCCTGATGCTGTGGGGAAAACAGATAAAGAACACGAATTGCTCAACGCATGAGTCTGCAGCCCTCGGGAGAGGGGTGTGTGCCCCCTTGGCTGCTCACCTGGGCTGGTAGCACAAAGCGCTCAGCACGCCGTTTTCACACTGACGTGCCATTTTAATAAACACAAGGGTCCAAGGCCCTGTTTCTATGGGTATCATTATTTACTCTTATTTGGTATTAAGGGTTTTAGTGTCTCTGTGTGGACGGGAACAATATAGGATTGTCCAGGAGTGGTTTCCAGACCCCTGCTCCCCACCACCATCCCATCATGGCTGCTGCAGTGTCACGGGGCCCAAGTTCAAATAAAATCATGAGCCTACTTTGAGGCTTGAAGGGCGTGTCCTCCAGCCTCGGAGGCCGCAAGAGGCCAGCAAAGCTTCCATGCCTCCTCCTGCACCCGCTGCCTGGATCCCTCTTCCAGGGGGGCTGCGGGAGGATTCCCTCTCCCTGCCAAGCCACCTTCCAGCAAGCTCCGGACAAAGCTCCCGCCAACCAAAGACACTGTCCCCGCAGTACGTGCCTGGCGGGCCATGCGTCCTCGCCGGCAGAGGAGCCGGGCTTCTGTGTGAACCTTCCACGGAAAGCAGCCATATTGCAGACACCAGTGTCTCCTTCCGACCTCTCCATGGCTGGAATTCAAAAGCATGTATTTCTGGAGCCCCTTGTGATGTTGTTTCCTTTTTTAAAAAATTAAACAGAAAGGATATTTGACACACAAAGTCAAGTTCATGGAGTCTGTTGTGGGCCTCAGTGTTGGGCTGAGGGAGACGTTGCAGGTGTGGAGCTAGCGTGGGACAGAGGCGGCGGCCAGGTCCCACCTGCAGCCTTAAAACTCTTGTCTTGGCCCGTGCATCCCCGGAGGAGGCAGTGGGGAAGGACAGTATGGGACTTGCAGGACAGGGCAGGAGTGAGCGCCGCAGGTACACTTGGGCACAGACGTGACTCTGAGATGCTACCATTATAAGAGGCTCCAGAGCTGGCATCTCTTCCTGCTCCTGTGTTACAGGTGATCTTCTGAGTGAGGGCCACACATGCCCACAGAACCGTGTAGCCTTGTTAGTAAGGTAGTGGGCCCAGCAGGTGGGGTCAAAGATCAGCCAGGGGTGGTTCTGTGTGCTTGGCTAGGAGGTCTTGGTGCTCCTGGGATTCAGTCTGCTGCTCTAAAAGGGCTTGCTGAGGCCATTTCCTGACACACACCAACATGCACCCACACACACAGACCTACACACATACCCACGCACACAGACGTGTGTGCACACAGACACCTGCACACAGATGCATGAACACATACAGACACATACAGACAAGCACACACATATACAGAGATACTTGTGTGTGCACACCGCAGACATGCAGACGCATGCACACACACAGATGCACATACACACAGACACACACAAGTATACACACACAAATGCACACATGGACATACACACAGACACATGCACAAGTGCCCTCATGGGGCCGGCCACAGCAATGACTTATGTCCCCACAGGACGCCTGGATGATAACTGGGATGCACAGGGAAGGGTCTCGGGGAGATGGGGCAGAGATCCGGCACAGGCCATTCAGGGGCTTCATCTGTTGGACTCCACTCAGCGGGAGCCTTGCCTGGGTCTGTGGACTCTGAGAATGTCGAGATTCTGCACCAGGGCCTTGCTGCCTTCCTGCATTCACACGAGGGTAATTGCTGTGCCCTTGGCCTCTGCCCTGCCCACCCCCGGGAGCCTTGGGGATACCAGTGCAGACCCAACAGCCCCCAGGGGTCTCCTGGGACCCATCTGCTCCCCCAGACCTTCTCTCAGTGCACCCCCAGGACTCCTGGGAGGTGCCAACCCTTGACCCTCCCTTCCTGCCCATCTACCATCCCAGCAATGACAACTTGCGCGCAAGCCTGGCCTCGGAAGGCCTGTGCTTCACACACCGGCCTCTACTAATGGGTGCTGCATCCAGAGGACAGCGTCCCTAGCTTCCCAAATCCCTGTCTCCTGAGGACCAGCACCCTGGAGTCAACCTGCTGAGTCTCGCTTCCCTGCATGGAAGACTGACACGGGAGTCAGCGTTGCATCCTGGGTCACAAGAGTTTGGGCTGCCCAGCTCCTGGTGGGCTGGGCTGGAGGCCAGTGGTGGGGGAGAGGGTGGAGGCTGTGAGGTTGGGCTCTCTGTTGAATGGATTCCTTTAAGCGCTAGCAGGCATTTGCAACTGGCCCGTGGGTGGAAGACGGTGGCAGTTGGACCGGCTGTGCCACAAGGAAAAGGAAAAAAACTCCACATGGGGGCATTTTCTCCTGAATTTTCTTGACATTTGTGTTAAAAAAAAAAAAAAGAGAGACTCAATTCTCTTTCCCATCTGCAATCCACTTGGCCAGCCTCTTGATCCCTTTTGATAGATGTGTTTTGATCCAGGCTCGCACAAAGACCTTTAACCACTTCTCCAGCGCAAGGAGAAGCAGCTGCTGCCCATTCCCTCGCAAGGGCCCCGTGCACCAGCCCAGCCAGGGGGCTTCCTCCAGGACCCACCTCAGGGCCCCGCCCAGCCCCCCAGGGGTGTCTCTGGCAGGACAAGGACGAAGATGTCTTGCCCATCTCCCAGACAGCCCCCCCACACCAGGAGGATGGTCTGAACAAAACTGTACCACAACCCTCGAGAAGTTTCAAGGGCACTTGCTCCTGGGACATGCTCCTGTCCCTCAAGGGGGGCTGCAGCCCCCCCACCCATATATAAAGAATACACACATTGATAGGGGAATGGATGGGGAGGGAGAGGCAGAAGCAAGAGTTTCCTTTCTTCTTCCCCAGCTGGCACTGGCTCTCGGTGCACTTTATAGACGCCTTCCCTTCAGGATGTAATTTTAGAAATGTCAAGCCGAGTTTGAGTTCTCAGAGAGTGAGAAAAGCACTCATCAGCTTCCGAATGAGAAATTTACCAGCTTAGGAAGAACCAGTGCTTTTTTTCAGAGGTTTCTGCCCAAGAAAATGTGATCTGCTCGGAGCTGGCAGCCTTGGGGGCCCCGAGGTGCCAGCAGACACGGGGGTGGGGCTCGGCCATTGCACGGAGGCCATTGGGCATGGGCTGGGCTCTGAGACTGTCCATCCTCTGGGCAAAGATGGCATCAGCTGGACTCTGTGGCCTTCCACCGATGCTTCCCCCGCCCCAGCCCACTCATGGGGCTCCACACTCCTTCTCAGAGGCCACTGCAGAGTTCCCCTCCCGACCCCAGACCAACCCTGGCAATGACTGGTGGCCAATCCCAGCCCCGTGTGATTGTGCCAGTATATCCTGCATGCACCTGTCTTTGCGACCTAGTGTCCTCCAGGCAGGCTGTGGCAGTGAAACCTCTGCCTTGATGTCAACCCCCTTCCCAGTCCCCTGACTGCTACTCCTGCCTGGGGCTGTGATGTGGGTCTCTTCAGCTCTGCGGAAAACAGACTTCAGCCTGAAGCCAACCCCAGATGACCAGTTTTGGCAGTGACTGCCAGGAATCCTGCATCGAGATAGATTCTGATAAATGAGTGATGTCGGGGGCAGAGGTGGCGGCAGAGATACTGCATTCCACCTTGTCTTTCATGGGGTTTTTAGGGTTAACTTTTTTACAAAACCAAAAGTAACTAAAATTCTGGAACCTGGAGAGGTGCGTGCACGCATGAACAAAGGAGACATGTCAAAGAGCAAGTCATGACTTAAACCAAGCCCATCGCAAACCGACATGAGCCGCTACAGGAACACAGGAATGGGTCTATTTGTGCAGGTCCCTGAAAAGCCTAGGAGTGAGCTTCAACTGATTCCCCAGGCATAGCTGATGACCCAGCAAGTGTCCCCTCTTCAGCTCTGGTTCCCCACATTGCTTCCTTCTAGCATACCGTTCACACTGCCGACAAAATGGTCACCCGCATCTCCAGGCCAAGTCTTGGCATTGGGTCCTGTGTCCACTCTTCCACCATTGAGACCATGGGATGGTGTGGTGTCTCAGGCCATTTTCTGTAGCTGTAACAGAATACCACAGACAAAGAAAGGACGTTTATTTCGCTCATGGTTCTGGAAGCTGGGAAGGTCAAGGAGCCGCATCTGGCGAAGACCTTCTTGTGGTGTCACAACATGGCAGAAGGGGAAGAGAGAATGCAAGACAGAGGAAACGGGGCTCAGCTCACCCTTTTTATCAGGAAACCACTTCTGCAAGAAGGACGTTCATCCCTGCATGAGGGCATGGCCTAATCACCTCTTAAAGCCTCACTTCTTAATACGGTTCCAATGGCAATGAAGTTTTCAACACATGGGCTCAACCTTTTCCAACCATGGATTGTGGGGCAGGAAGGGGGCTGTTTTCCCAGGTTTTCATGTGTTGGAGTTTGACCCTCAAGGACTAAGAAGAGAGAAAGGACAGTTCCTTAAGGCAATACTGGGATCCTGTTACTAGAGGGAACAAAATGGGGTGCTGGGAAGGAAAATGCAAGAGACCCATTCTAACTTCTACTGGAATGACTCTGAGGGGACACCTGTCAGGTCCTTCCAGATGTCTCTAACAACCAGGGTTCATAAAAAGTAGAATAAAGAACTGCTGGCTGGGCATGGTGGCTCACGCCTATAATTCCAGCACTTTGGGAAGTAGAGGTGAAAGGATTGCCTGAGTCCAGGAGTTCAAGGCCAGCCTGGACAACTTGGCGAGACCTCATCTCTACAATAAATAAAAAAATTAGCCAGGTGTGGTGGCGCGCACCTGTGATTCTAGCTACTGAGAAGGCTGAGGTGGAAGTATGGCCTAAGCTCAGCAGGTTGAGGCTGCGGTGGCCATGGCCATGAGCTTGTCACTGCACTCCTGCTTGGGTGATAGAGTGAGACTCCAACTCAAAAAAAAAAAAGAGAGAGAAAAAGAAAAAGAACTCGTAAACACCTGCAGGGCCCCTTTTGCGGTTACTCCCAGGTAGGCTGGGAGCTTGGAGCTCAGTGGCCCGTGGAGGATCCCAGCTGACGTCAAGGTATCTCCAAAGGTGGTGTCAAAAAGCTCTGTGTGTCCATCCTGTTCATATCCAGATGAGGAAGCTGAGGAGACCAAAGGGGCAAGGGGCATCAGAGAGCACACACCAAGTGAGTAAAAATGACCAGAACCCACTGCAACCTGGGCCTTCTTGGGGCCAAGGCTTCCTGCACATCAGCTCAAGATGGAAAGTTGTAGAAGAGACTCCAGAGACAGGCAGAACTCCTTCAAGAGACAGCCCCTCTTTTCTTCCTTCATAACTTCTTTTTATTTCTTTTGTGGTGTTTGTTCGTTCGTTCGTTTGTTTGTTTGTTTGTTTCAGAAGTCAGTTATTCAATACACCCTTTGGGGCTAGAATCTAGGAGAGTTGTTTAGGACAGGAGTTGAAGCTGGCTTTGAAACTGGTCAAACCAAGGCTCCACCAGCTGTAAGCTGTACCCCTCCTGAGCTTGTTTTCTCATTCACAAAATGAGGGAAGTCGCATGACCTACCTCCTGGAGTTATTAGCAGGATTCGGTGAGTTCATGCCCCCAAATATGTTTTCACTGAATCTGCAAACAGCACACAAGTATGGCCACTGGGGTCACCGGAGTTCACTCTCTTGGTAAAATGCTGTTGGAAGCAGGAAGGGGGAACAGGAAGAGATTCATTAAAAGATATAAAATTATAGCTACAAACTGGGCACGGTGGCTCATGCCTGTAATCCCAGCACCTTGGGAGGCTGAGGCAAGAGGATTGCCTGATCC